AATAGCAGACCTGCCCTGGCTTTGAGTTAGCCACACTCAGCATGCCTGCCTACAAACTCTCAGGCGTCAGCCCTGACACTCCAAAGAGAGTTTGATCAGTGGGCCTTTTTTCATTTCTAATAAGTCCACCTTTGTACAAGCAAATGTAGATCAGGGGAAAGCCAACTTGCAGTCTAGTTTTATGTGTGTTTGTTCTTTAAGAGATATTTGAATGAACTGCAGAAAATAAAATGTTTAATTATTTCCTGGTTCCTTACTGGGTAGAAAAACAACTGGATTTTTTATCTGTTCTGTTCTTATCTGAAGTAACGCTTTACTAGAAGTTCACTGTAATGTTCTAAACCTGTACAGCTAGAGACATATTCAAGTGCACAATGTCATCTTCAGAAAGGAGTCTTCAATATAAACATCCTACATATTAGGTTTGAGTGGGAAACTTCATAGCTCAAAGGCAGATCCACAGCAGAAACTTTGTGTTTTCTCTTCTTTCTTCTTTTGGGTGTGCAATTAACCTGTACTTCATTTTTTATATAAGTCTCCTTAAAGGCTAAACTAGTGAAAGTGCTCCAAGTGCAGGTTGGGCTCTAGGATACAGCCATCACAAATTGGGCCTGGGTAATGTCACTGACTGCCTGCAACTGGGGTTCCTAAAGCAGTGACAACTGGCACAGTCATCATTGCCAGGAGTAAAGCTGGAATTAGAGGGCTAAGGTTCTCTCAGCTCCCAACAATACAGTGACCCCATCAAGCTTACAGTGATGTCATCGAGATGGTGTGCCTCTCCTCCAATCAGTGATGCCTCTCCGTTGTGCAGTTTGTGGAGTCTCAAAAGATGAATAGCTTCATAGGTAGGTGGGCTGGAGGAGCTTGTTTATACCAAATCATTCTTCTTACGCGAGGACTGTAGTTGTAGCCGAGCTAAACAGTAAAGGCTCAATCCCTATTCCCAAATTTGTTGAGTAGATGATAAAAAAATAGACATTTTAAATTACAAAAGGAAATACCTTTAGTACTCTCACCCTTTTTGACATCTACATTTTTAGATTTAAAAATTACCATAAGAACACTAACCACATTTTTCTCAAGTTGTTCATTTAAACCTGTTAAATACCCAACATAACAGATAGCTTCCCAACTTTTAAATTGTTTTCTACCCGCTGACAGCTACAAGCATTGCCATGATGCAATTAAAACCTCGGCAAATTGCAGTTACATAAATGTGAGAGGTGTGTAATAAAGTGCACAACAGAAAGACTGCAAAGATACTACTCTCTCATGATTTAACTACACAAAGTGATGCAGCACAGGTACTTTCAAACAATCATCACATACAAAAGGTTGTCTATCCTCAGCAAGACTATGTTATTAACTATATAAGATACATCAAACTTTTATGTTTCTATAGTTGCTTACAGAAATGAATACCATTTAAATATGTCAACTTCAAAAATAAGGACAGCAAAATTAAAATGTGAAGTATGACAAGATCAGATTGTTTTAAACTTCAGCCTGGAAAATGAAAAGTTTTAACACATTAACAAGATCTGTTTTTTACCCCACAGAAAATGGAGCTTTTTTCTTCTTATAACTGAAAACAATCGGACAGAATGGGACTAGAGACTGGAAAAGAAACGCTGGGAGTTGAGATCAGCAGGGGCTACAGCCTGGCCCTGTGGATAGAGAGAGTCCCGTTAACTGGGTCGGTCTGTTAACACACACACTGCAGCACTTCCTCTGTATAAACACCAGCCTCAAGGGTGTAGCAAAGTGGATGAGGATTTAGGAAATTCACACTCTACAATGAATAGCTACAGTATGTAGTGTAATAGAGCTTTAAGACTACTCTATTAGAAGTGTACCTCTAACAACGTCCATAGCACTACTATTGTGGAACAGTGGGTTCATTCCTTCTATGCAGAATCCTGCCATACATGAACCCAGTCAAAGAGTGAAACCGCCCAGTTATCCTTGATAGCTTCAACAATGAAAGATGCGTTTGTGCCCTCTCCATTGAGCAGTGTTGAGTTGCAGCTAAACTGCCCGTGTGTCACTGTGATACGTCGGGGCTCAGTGTAATGGGAGTGTAATGCAGCCCAAGGCCCGTCAGTCTCCAGAGCAGTGGGCTCCATAACAGCCCCATAATTATATCAAAGGGCTTTTATCTCTTCCTGTGCATTCCTATTTTCCACCAGAGAGAAAGCCAGGCAGTAGAGATTCACCACTGGGACCTCCCAGATCCACTTGCTTTCAGCTTCTTTGAGCTCAGACTCATAAATCTATTATGAAGGAATGAGGGATGCAGAGCTGTGTTTTTTTACCAGCACTAACAAAGGGAGTAGAGCCTCAAAAGCAGACCGTGGCGCGGTGGGCTAGATTTTGAAAAGGGCTTACAGAGTCAGAAGGAGGGAGATTGAAACCTGTTCTTTGCAGATAGCAAAGCGCTTGTACTCGAGCCAACACCAGGTGCTGAATACTTTGTGCTCAGTACCTTATTTTGCTAAATCTGCATTAGCAAGTTTGTGGAAAACAGAGTTGCTTTCCCGATCTGTAGGTGCAAAGTGTACAAGTCTGCAGCTCTTAAATGCAGGAATGGATCTAACTGCTGAGATGATGGACAGGGGGCTATCCCCCTTCCTGTCAAAGCAAGGCCTGCTGACATGCAAGGGTCCTGGAGAGCCGCTGGTGCCCAGCAACAGGCAGCTTATGAAGAAACCGATACCGGTGCTGGGAGGAAGAATGCATTTACAGAGGCCACAACACAGTTTTTATTAGGGATTAGACTTTTTTTTACCTCTCTGCTCTACTTCTGTTTCCTAAACCTGCACAACCTGACACCCCAGAACATCTAGTCCAAGCAAGAATCAAAAAGCTGAAATTGTAACAGCCCACTCCAGTCTGGCAGTCACAGCTGTTCTGACTATTTTCTTTGTTTTTTCTAATATTGTTATATTAAAAAACAGCTGAAAAGACAAGCACTGAAAACAGACCTTCGCTTTACAGTGCCTCCCTCTACTGCCCTGTCATTTTATGTCATTTATTTCGGTGATTTGTGGTTCTAAAAAACAGCACCCAGCTTTAATTCCACTTTCTGATTCTACCACACTTCTCTGCTCCTGACAGCGATCAGCAATCAGCAGGCTCGTGACACAACAACTCCTGGACTCCAGGTGTCGAAAAACCAGAGTGCTGTCATTTCATGAAAAATGAGAAAAACTGAACAGCCTCCTGAGACAGAATGCATCATACTGAGTCGTAACCTACCCCAGACCTAAAACAAGAGCCGACACAAAACACACAGGCATCCGACATCACCCAGCGCCAGACACTGATGGCCCTGCACACACTCACACCTAGGCTGTGCTCCAAGCAGAAAGGCACGACACAACGGGACAGATCCTCCGCATGCAGCGTGTGCTGGTTTTCATATTCCATGCCTCTATGCTTCCACCACATTGCGGAGCTAAAGAACAGGATGGAAAATCACATAAAGCCTAATAACATCACATTGCATACAAATATTTACTGGAACCCAGCATTCAGACCTAGTCCAGGAGCACTGTGCAGCCTATAAGACAGATGACTGCATACTCACTGCATAAAGAAGCAGCACTGTTGTGCTATTTCAGACCATCGATCTGTAGTCATTGGCATTCTTTACTGATTAATTTGCTCTTATAGATAAACTGCAAAGATCCGAGTAAAAATATTTGACTGATACATTCATTTGTTCATTGACTAAAATTACTGGACACAGCCCAGACTTCCCTTGCTCTTGGGAAAAGTGCTGAAAACAGTGCCGAGGTCCATGTACCCTCTTTGGCACAAGGATTATTACAACACCTGGCCCACAGACAGCCCGCCTGATCTGCATTGTTACTCACACCGTGACTAATGAATAACGAAACGGTCATTTCATGTGCAGCACTATGCAGTCAGCATTTTGTCGTTTTTGACTTGACCTCTTATACCCATAAAGGTTTTCGGTTCTAACTTTCAAGTTTCATTAAAACATTTTCACTTTATGTGTTCACAGTTTAAAAACTGTGTATACATAATTTGTTATGCACCAAAAGGGGACATCACTGGAAGGGAGTGAACACCTATGCCTATGGATGTGTAAAGTTTAGTCACACCTGCCCATCGGGCTGTGAACTGTCTTGCAGGCCAGTACTCAAATGCTGTCCTGGGCCTTTACAAGTCTTGGTCTGCAGATATTTTTTTTTTTGTAGAAACCCAATAAATACACAGATAAGGGAGTTATGTCAAGGAACGTTTAATGAGAATAAGAAAACAATGCAGACAACACACATAGTGCGCCACTGCGGGATACAGTGTGACAAGGAGAATGGCCCACGTCTTGCGTCGTTAGGACTCACAGGCTAAAGACATGAGACCCTTAGGCCTTCTGAAGTGGAAGGGATGGAGAGCACATCTTAAAGATGCTGCACCTTCATGAACCTTTCCCCTGACTGCGTGCTACAATAAGGGCTCAGCGGCAATAACGAATGAAATAAAAATATTCGACTCATCTACGATAAGAATGACAGCCATTCCGGAAATCGCAACCTGTGTGATTAGCCGTCGCACCGCCCGAGCGCGCCGTTCCGTCTGCCGTCGCTGCCCTTCTTGCACACACACACGCAGGGCTCTCACAGACCTTAAACTCGCATATAACTGATTCCCTTCCTATCTCTTCTGAAGAATCTGTGATGGGAACAAAAAGGCGCAAGCGACACAGAGAACAGTGTATAAAAAAAATGATTTCTGATTCTGCAAAACCTCGGAGGGCCGCCTGATGATAAATGTGATAAAAAAAAGAAAGAATCTGACTTCGTAGGGTTAAGTCACCGCCCTCAGCAACACCAGGGGCGCCCCAAGCCAGGAACTCCTGAGAGTTTTAGAAGAAAACGGAAAATGTGATACGGGTGTGTGTTTGGGATTTGTCATTAAATTAAAAAGACAAGGTCGTTTTTGCTAAAACCACAATCAGAGCGTCTTACCTTAAAGCACGGCAGATGTCATGTTATCAGCCATGCTGAATCCAAAGGCAGAGGGTGTGCAATGAGTCAGAAGAAACGAACCGGCGTGTTTTGTGCCCAGAGGAACACGACTCGGCTATCCAAACAGCATGGGCAGCGAGCAGCAGTGTCGTTAGTAAATACCGGTAGGTAAGAAGACTTGTACAAGCCTAAATAGTCCACAATGAGGTTAAGGTTATGTGAGTCACCCTATAACATAAAACAAACTGAGAACACAGGCACAGCTTCCTTCTGAACCTAAGGGAGATGTAATATTTCTTTTTCAACTGGATCAATTCTATCCTCTTCCGTCAGTTATAACAGCAGTTGTCGTAGGCTGATGTAGCCAATATCCTTCTCGCCATGGGTCGTACCCAGCAACGGTACAGTTTCAAAAATGTGTTTCTTAGGGGTCGAATCCGTTTTTGTATCACGCAGTCCCCAGCAGGAACAGCCCCAGTGTGCGAGGTGATCGTTTGCAAAAACACGGTCAAGCTCGTCAAGTGCTTGATCCAGCTGTGGTTTCAACACACAAAACGATACAGCGACCACAAGGGATGAGTCTGAACGGTCCACTGTCTCGGCCACGCTGGGTGGAAACCAAGGTTTCCGGTGATCCCAGAAACCAATGAGTTAACAGTTCTCGCTCAGAGGGCAATCGGCGATGATGATGTGTGGTGTGTTGTCAATTCCAACATCCCCTCTCTCTCTCGCTTCACTCACCCCCGACTAGGGCGGAGCATCCGAAAAATCACCTGGACGATTTCAGAACAACAGCTCTCTCCCCGTTTTCACCGCTTTGCTGGCCACACGTCTCAGGGGTCTTACAGGCCTCTTATGGTCTTCTTCTCTACCAAATATTCTGCCTTTTTTCTGCTTCTTTCTCGCACCGCTGTGAGACTCTCTCTCTCTCTCCCGGTGACTCCCCGGTCTTTCTCCGAGACACACGCGGCCACAGCTGACAGTGACGTCACTCGCGATAACATTCCCCGCCCCTCTGCCCTCAGACGTGAGCGCGCACGCCTTAGTGAGCGTGTACGTGTAAGAGGTGGGATCAATACGGCAATTTGAGCCACGGGAGAGTCGGAAGATATTTGATAGTCACTGGATGGGCGTGAAAATTAGTATTTGATTCTAAAAAAAAAACATTTTAAATCCCGATTGCGTTTCTGATAAAGAACACAAACAGAATAACCTGTTTTATATCAAATGTAAACTCACTGTTGGTAAAAAAGAATATGTAGTGATGCCTGTCTACAAGTCTGGTCAAGAATAAATTTATAAATGCAGGCTTAGAAAAGAACATTTGAGTAATTTAGCAAAACAAATCTTAAACAATGATTTAGTGGAGGAAAAAAATCAGCACAATCCATACTATGGGCAAGCTGTGATGCCTAGATGAGCTCCAATGCTCCTGCATCAACTCCAGGTCTTACAGGAACTAATCATGTTTTTTTTTTTTTCCCAAGTTTACAGTCCTCTAGTTCCAGTTTCCAGACTCTCCCACCCATTAATCACCCATCACCCCTTCCTGACTCCACCTCAGACCCGTCTGCCCTTTCGTGCCTGCTTCCCCTGTGCATCTCAACTGTCCACCATTCCTCTTTCTGTTTTTCACTTATATAATTATCAGCCACTTATCTAATAAACCCTGTGATTCTTCACTGCTGATTGAACTCTGAAAATAATTAATTTGCCGTGCCCTTTTTCCACCTACGGGCCTGGTGTAACTCACGAACAGTAAATATGATGTAGATTTACTATACAGTAAGCCTATTGCTTAGTAATGTTTTCAACAAACAATTACATAAAATATGTTTTTATCTTCTGTTGTAAACTCAGTTGTCTCTTTCTACAATAAGATAATTTTTGGTGAAGTAAATGAGGGAGACCTAGTCCAGCAGCATCTGTCCCCATTTCCCCTGTCCTCTGTGGAATAATACATCCCATGACACCCTTCCACACAAACCTCACAGAACCACTCTCCACAAAAACACTTATTCAAAGGCTCGCTGGCACGCAAGCACTGGCCATGTTTTTCCACTTCAGTGCAACCTCCATTCTGGTGTGCTAATTCTGTCTGGCCCGGGAGAGCAACTCTGAATGCGTGGCCCATGAAAATTTAATCCAGACAGAAACCTGAGACTGGCTGAGGAGCAGGGTGGAAAAGCAACGCTCTCCTCATCCACCTGCCTGACCGCTGCGGGAGGAGTGATGAAGGAAGAAAGAGAGGATGGAGAGAGAGAGGAGGGAGAAGAGGACGAGGACAGAGAAGGTGTACTAGAGATGGAGAGAGAGCCGAAGAAGCTGACAAACGGGCTGTGAGGGGGAGGAATCTAAACAGAAAATAAGAACAAATATTCAAACAAATAGTGAGGAAGGCCAATATAATCACTGACTGTTATGACCATCCCTTGCACAATTAATGTGAGGTCCTTCTACCAGAGCATTGATTTAGAATACCAGATTTAACTTGTGCAATAGGACTAAGTTATCCTTTATTCCCATGGCTAATTACCTGCTTAATCTGGACAACAGATTGTATATTTTAATTTTTTGCATCATGTATCTTAGGTATCTATCTCATGCACTGAAGATCCAATTTGTTTTTTTCTTAATTATAAAGGATACGTAAGCCACTAAAACATGTTTTTCTTCATTTTCTGCATGCATGTCTCTTATTTGTAGACGTCTCTTAAATGTATTATGCGTTGTTTTATATCTGGTACCTGACTGCAATGCCAATTTTCCATCTGGTGCAATAAAGGAAGGAAGTGGGACGGAAATAGACTGCCATGGAGGAAAGCAGAGGAGACAATGAGGGTTCAGCCCCTCTGAGCCAATGTTTTATAAACTGTCCAAACACCCCAGCCCTGGGAAAGCTAGTCTTACTGCAGCAAATGAAGCAAGCTGTTACAGCGTTCTCTGTCTGCTGGCATTGAACCTCTGCTGCTCAAACACTGAGCCAGAGGCCACACACTGACATAGGCAGACACACGCTCACGAGCCGCAGCACTGTTTCAGACAAGAACACGCAGGGACACAGAAGTGTGCAACCTACTGAACGGACTGTTCTTTCACTCAGTAATTAAGTGCATTTTGTTACTGTGCCCTGGAAATGGAGAATGAGGCACTCGGATAATGATATTGTGTCACTGTCCTGAATGTTTGTAAATGTTTTGCTGATTGTTATTGCTTTGGCAACGCTGTAATTCATCAGTCATACCAATAAAGCTCTTTGAATGTGAATAGTTATCAGTCTTAGTACTTTGTTTGTTTGAGAATTTCTTGTATTTCAGTCAATAACCATGTTATCCACCCGAGACCCAGAAAAAGACAGGAGGTGTGATGAGTTTATTTCTCAAAATTGGGAAACTGAAGAATGTACTGAGTAAAGACATAGACAGACATTTTCAATCCAGTAAGGAATAATTTGTAAAAGCAGAGTGAGTCCTTCTCACAGCTATTTTTTCTATCAATACAGCCTGTAAAAAGCCTTGCAAAATATTTATTTTATCCTCCCAAGAACAAAAAGATGTTGAAATGTTACTTTCAACATCAGGCACTAAATCTAGTATGTAGCTCTATTCAAAGCTATTGTTAGCTGCTATATTGTTTATAAAAGCCTGTATTTCCTCAAATACAATCTGAAAGTAGCTTTGAAATGTTTTTAAAGCAGCATAACAGTGTAGAAATTGTGTAGATGGACACTTTTTTGTAGAAAAACGTTTAAGTATATTCAGCTTTTTCCTTAGGACAGCGTGTTCTGTAGCTTTATCTAAATTTCATTTTTAAAGCTGTTTCCACAACACAACAGATAGATCTGAATGATGGGATATAAGTTAGATTTGACTGTTTCACCATATCAGAAAGTAGAACTGTCTAATTAAATGTCTAATTCTCCTTTGCATATATTGCCTTAATCTAGTGTGTTATTAGTGTTTTTTCTATGCAGCCACAAGGTGGCAATATCTTACAATATCAAATTAATATCAGCCATTTCCCTATGTAGGCATGATAGAGAACTACAACAGTAATTTCTGTGACATAGATATTGAATTCATTCACTGAATCATCGTGGGATTACCAACTTTTTATCCTTTCCAACACTCTCTGCATTTCCTTTTTCTTTAGTGACAACAATCTTCTGTAGATCCATGTCACTTTTTATACTGTAAAGCACACAGGCATATACACACTGCAGGTCCGACTAAGTTGGGATTGCAAGTAAAGTAATGAACAGCCAATTATCTAAATTGTTGGAGGCTTTTGGAACAGCAACCACTGGTTAGGGCTGCCCCAGTAGGAAAATACCTGTGGATAGTCCCTCTCCTCTATCTGGAACAAGTGACAAAGCAGTGGTGAAGGAAAGGAATAGGTTTCTAAGTCTGTGCAGAAGCTAAACCAACAAGCAGTTTTTGGAACATTTCTTTTAAAAAGGATTTAGTTAAAGTTATTTTTTAAACCTAATCAGTCAAGTCATAGGTGCAGGGTTCTAATCCTTGAGGACCAGAACCAAGCAGGTTTTCTAGGTCTATTTAAATCATCAAATGATTGAGACCTTTGAAAATAATTAACCTGGTCCAATTCAGCTAATGATCAGGTCAACTATGTCATTAACAGTAAAAATGGAATAACACCTTGCAGAGCCTTCCAAAACAAAGCTGTGTACCACAGATTTGGCTGTGTGTGTACTTGCTTTTAAAATAACACTTCACCTCATAAAAGTAATTTGTAGCAACTTCTTCACAACTAATTGGTTAAAAACTAATAACATGAATAACTTGCAACTGTAACTGACTACATTTTATAAGCACATCTCCAGAACTGACAAGAAAATTCCACTACATTCTCCAGCTTCAGATTTGTACCCTCCTTGTCCTGTACTAAAACATCTGTCCATCTGCAAGCTGAACACAGATGCTGTCAGCAGCTGAAACACCTCCAGTCTCAGCTCTACACACTCCATTCTCCCTAATAAAAAAAATCAACATATTTACAAACAGGTCAGAAACAGCACCTACCTGGTAGATTTACATTTCCTTATACCTGCTAGTCCTGCATGCCACACTGGTGTCACTTTTCAATATACTTTTCTAATAAAAGGGAAGCAACTCTGAAATGCCCTGTGATCTCAGCCTGTCACCACGGAAATGTCTGTGATGTCACAACTCTGGTACTGTGACATCATCAGTTGCTTGCCTGCGCAATTTAAGATTTTGACTAATTCATCATACTGTAAGAGAGTTCATAGCATTCCACTACACAGCATGAGGGACCTATATCAGCCACCCCTGATATAACCCTTAGATGACACATAGCAGCTAAAATGTACCAGCAGCCCTACTACACACCTTACCTATCCAGGTGAGAAATAGTTTAACTGAATGAATTAAGGGGAATGTTAAGAAGGCCAGAGTGAACAAGCCAAAAGTGCAACATGGGATCTTTTATTACTGAGTCATAAAAGTCAGGATCTTGGTTAAATGTCTTATCAGATGGATGATACCTCCTTAAGCACAGAGTTCCTGGTCACTAAACTACTGTAGAACATTGTCTACAGTAGGAACAAAATCCTAGTCTGGAAGAAAGAGTGCCACCTACTTGACTAACAACACCCCTCACAGTAGTGACTTAGTTTTTGCTGGAACTGTCCCATCCAAGTAATGATCAGATACAGCCTTGCTTAGTTTCTAAGAGCGGGTTCAGAGACAGTTTCTTGTCAGATTATTGAACTTTACCCCTACCCACACCTATATTTGTTTTTTAATTGTATGTTATTTAAATTGTTGTTGTTGCTGCTGCTGTTCTGTTTTTATGTTTTTGGTGGTTCATTTAATATCTTTGTATTGGAGAATACGTGCAAATAAGCAATTCATTGCAGTTGTGCATATGACAATAAACTGAAGTGAGCTATAATGCAGACTACAAGGTGGTTACTCTGCTGGTAAACAGTACCTGCAATATCCAGGCTCTCTAGTAGGGTCTAGGTCATAGTCTTTGTGCAATACTATTTTAACATTGTGCTCTGCAAAAGACAACTGAACCATGAAACACACTTTATGATCTTTGGCTGAAAAAAGCTGAGGAAATAGTTGTCTTTTAAATACTTTTTGTTTTTCATTTTCAGTTGATTTAATGATAAATCAACATAACTGGCTTTTTCTCAGGAGCAAAATATTATACAGATTCTACTGGGTCTTTGTGTTGCCAAGAACCTTAACAGACAAAAGGTTCATCCAGATTCATTTGATGAATAGTCTGAGCAGTTTGCAAGGGAAGCTAAAATCCAGCTTTTTTAAGAATATTAATAAATGATGAGAGACCACAGGTAGGGAAGATCATGCTGCAGTTCAGGTAATGTAAGCCCTGCCTTCACAGACAGAAGCTCTGGTTGCGAGGGGATGGATCTCATTGCTGTGGCTGGCAGAGGTCCATGAACACTATGATTTACTGGGCAGTTTGAACACATGGATACTCCAGCAAACCTGTCTTCCTTGGGAAGTGTTTAAGGGATGGGGAAAACGATGGGGAAAGAACCGGCAGTTTTTTCATCTAAATTTAGACTATTAACCAGTCTGTGTCTGTCATTTTGTGCGTGAGACATTGACAGAAACGGGACAGATGAAAGGAGAAATGGAGAGCTCGTAAGACACAGGGGGAGGAGAGAAAGAAATGAAGGAATGCGATAGACGGTGAACCCTGAGACTGGCGCTGCGAGCACTACGGTAAGAGAAGCAGAGCTACAAGAGGCGTGCACATGAAAGTGAAGGATAGAAAGATAAAGACAGGTGGGGGGAGAGAGGTGGGGTAGAGGGGAGATTTGAGAGAGATTTCTGGAAAACAGAAAGAGGACAGAGGAAAGAACGAACAGAAAAGTAAAGAGACAGAAAGAAGGTCTTTGGCTCAGGTAAGATGTGACTGATTATTTAAATAAATTAAAAATTAAATGTGGTGATTATTACAGTATCTTGCATTGGATTCTATAGTGCTCATATTCCTGTCCAGAACAGCAGTGATTGCCTCACCATGGCAATGGTCTTGTCGCATTGTTACTGATGTGTCTTTCTGGGATATAACTAAAAAACGGGAGACTGAGAACAAAAAAAGGAGAAAACACTTTTTATATGGTGTATCATCATCTTGTGCAGTGCTTCAGAATGTTTATGTTTGCTCTTTACCTGTTGTGCCATGTGGTGTGGATTCAGCAATGAATTGATTGTCCCGCCCATCAATGTGTCGTGAAAGAGGGTCTCTGAGTGTGTGTATCACAGAAATCATGGTGAATTATAACAATAATTCATTAATGAGAATAATTCTGATCTGGGAGTGAAGTGTGTCTGAATTCTGTTTTTGTGCTCTTTGCAGTTAACCTTATCAGTTTACCACTTGACTGTTAGAGGAAAGACTTCTGTTGCAAGAACAGCCAGGGAATCCAATCCTAATCCTAATAACAATTTTGTGGTATTATTCTCCCCTGAGTACCAGTAGATCAGGCTAGCATCAGAACAAGCAGAATTCCTGTGGACCTCTCGATGTGCTTCTGTTCTAATGCCCACTGATGTGGGTGCGGGGTTGTTAATGTGTTCCAACACTCCTAGCAGCTCAGCCTGAAGACTTGACGATGCTCCTGGCCCTGACACTGCTGCTCCTGCTGACTCTGCACCCTGAACCCAGCACTGTGAGTAATCACCCCGCAGATTCACACAGCCCCAGCGTCCTGCTGTATTAACAGCCCTAGGCTGCTAATCTACTGATGAGGCACAGCACACAATCACTTGGCTTCAGCATTGTTGAGTGTGCTCCTATTTATTGAAGACGGGGTTTGAATAATTAAACTACAGAAAGGCTATGTTATGATCAGCTGGCAGACCTACTATTCTTCAGGGTGTAAACAGCACTGAGTACCGCACATGCTGCACACCTGCGACTAATTTGTTACAGGTACAGAGAGACACCTTGGACCAGCTGACACTGCAGCTCCCTCACAGATGGGCTCTTCAGCATAGCCTGTCTGCAGGGACAGTGCAGCAGCTCTGGAGAAGACTGATGGACACAGAGTCTTTTGCTGTCCCTCTGCAGCCACTGCGCACACATGGAGAAAGTGGTGCATGCCTTGACAAAAGATTTCTGTTCTTCAATAAAAAATAATTGAGAATTTGCTTTGAAACATTTACAGCAAGTACTCAAACATGTTTAAGTGTTTTGATTCTCGTTCTATGCTCGTTTGTTCATTATATGGTATTTCGAACTGAACTGCCGAATTGCTATTCTTCAGAATTTGTATTGGGTTTTCGGATGCCTGTGCTTGAGTCTGTTGAGCTCGGGCTATGTGACTGACCAGGCTGAACACCTGTTTCCCATTTCACTGGACCTGGGCCAGGACAGATGTGCTGGCACACACTACAAAGCTGAGCCGTAGAGAGGCTAGCCTCTCCATTGTGAAGACTCCTGCTCTTATTGGGCTGATGTGAGGAGCAGGGCCCCTGAGCTTGAGCTTGATAGGAAACATAAAAACAGGAAGGAATGAGGGATCAGATCACACAGAAGAGGTAAGAATTCACACTCATGCAGCTGGGGCTGGTCAGGACTGTACACTGGGACCAGGCAGGCTAGAGGATCCGAGCAAGGACAGGCTGAGCAAGGCTGGAGACAGATAGGAGTGTGAGTGTGTGGAAACGCTGTGCTGTGTTCCAGGCGGGCAGGGCCCAGCGGAGACAAAGACTGGCAGAGGAGACTCTGAGGCCATACGTGGAGCGTGTAGATCCAGGTGAGTCTGACGATCTGAGGGGGTTACAGAATCTGACCCAGGTACGAGCTGCCTTGCTGTGGTGGATCTATATGTAAAGCACCTCTGGATACTGTAGGATATAACATGCTACATAAATGCAAATGATTCCATTCATTTATTTTATTTTTTTATAGTTAGGGATTTAGTGTTAGAATTTGAATTAATTAGATAATTAGATAATGAAACATCTACAGTTTATTGAAAACCTCCACTAAGTGTTTTTTACTAGTATAATAACTTTGACAGTTCTCAATAACAGAAGAAAACCAGGCTTGTCATTTAGCAGACTCCAGCTCACATTGATCAGAATCCTAAAATCATGTTGATCAGCAAATCCAGGTAAACTTTACATGAGCAGCCTATACTGTATATATACTGTACTGTAGTGGCTAAACCAACACATTTACCAACCAAATCTCCTGAATCACTGTCAGCACTGCTAACATCCTTTTTTACTTTTTATACACCTGTAAAGCTAAAGGGCTTCTTTTTGTACTGCACAATATAGATCTATCAAGATTAGCTATTATCTTAAAACAAAATCACTAAAAATCATTGCAGGAATGTGCTTCTTTATACTTCATTACTAAGGTAATGAAATGATCTGGATCAAAAAGGGGAGCAGGAATTACATTTGGGATGTACCTAGAATTCTGAATGAATGTAGGTTTGGGGACGAGGTTATAGTTTGAAATTAGAATAAAACTGGATTCAAATGGGTTTTGCATCAGGGTTAAGACTAACGCTGAACATGGGACATTCTTAAAGGTAAGGGGAAGGGGAATTAGAGTGAGGAAGGATTTAGGGTTACCCCAGAATCCGGGGCTCAGATTACAGTGGGTACCCCGCTGCTCTCCCAGGGGAGCTGTGTAAGCTGCTGCGATGCCGCACCCCAGTCGGCTCCTGGTGCCAGGTGGTGCAGGAGGATGGGATCCGGGTCCCCAAGTGTGTGTGTCCCCAGAGCTGCCCACGGTGAGACTACCCCCTTCCCCTCTCTCTGTCTGTCTGTGCGCGTGTCTTTGTGTCGCCCCTCTTCTTCTGTCCCCTCTGTCCACTTTCCCTCACACAGGCCAGCAGTGAGGTGCAGCCAAAAGCACCCATCACTGCAGCATCCTTATTGTCTCCAGATCAGACTCATGAAGACTTTGAATATTTTGATTATTAGGAGGAGGAGGAAGGCAAGTTATCATAGACATACAGATAGTCAGCTCTTGTTAGAACAGAAACATTGTTTCGCATGACAAGTTACAAAATGACTCTTGCTTTCCAATACTGTTTATTTTCTATTTCTGTGTCTTGTTAGCAGCATAAGTAATATGCTATATCATTAGTACTATAATAGTTGTAATATTACAAGCAGAAGTATTACTGTGGTTTTTAGTATTGTAGTTTATCACTGTATTAAAGGTAGAAAAGGTGTTGATGTAAAAGTCTCATTCTATACCAGAAGATCTGTTACTGATGATTATTACCACTATTATTACTATCCCAGTACTGACAACAGCAGCAGTACTGTGACTGTCTCACGTTTAGTGCACACATTAATTGCAATGTTTATGTGAGCAGGCAGGGAGCACCAGCATGCAGTGTCCTGGGGAAGACCTATGGGAATCAGTGTCTTCTGCACAAGGAGGCTTGTCGCAAGAGGCGTCACATTGGCCTGGCTCACCTGGGGCCATGCATAGGTATTGATCACAGAGCTCCTGCACTGAAGTACCTCTCACCCCACTTCATTAAACCAAAGATGCACAAGACTATACAGCACAGTAGTTAGACAGTACTGCACAACAAGAAACATTACTTCATATTACTGCAGAGTACTGCACAGAATTCTCACTCTCTTAGTCTGAGTATTCGACTGCCTGTCCGTCTGTCAGTTACGCAGTCCGTGTGCACAGAAGAGGAGTATGAGCAGTTCCCCTATCGACTGCTGGACTGGTTCCTGCTGCTGAGCACCATGGGAGAATCGAATGGAACCAGCGCCATGATGCAGAGCTGTCTGAGCCACACACATCGCCAGAAACTGGCAGAGGTACTGGTGGAGACTGAGACAAAGGGGAAGGGAATGAAAGGTGGGGATAGGATAACCTTGGGGTCAAGATGTTCATTTCCAGTGTCAAACCACCTATGCCAGCAGAACAGTTTCTTCCTGTTGGATGCTCCTGACAGACCTTGAGGAGCAGCATCACTGTGAAAGTCTCATTCTGCGCTAGAAGACCTGTTACTTCTATAACAATAAGAGTGCAGCAGTGCAGCTCAACACTTTACTTTAAATTGCTGGGAAACGTTCTAAGAGTAAGGCATAAGTGTTGCTAATTCTTAATGGTTTTTGACATTAGAATCTGGATTTCTGTCTGTGATGTAAGTGCACGGGGAATATGCGTTCCTGAAACATATGTACCGTACAGTACCTCTGTGCCCCCAGCGGCGATTTGGACTGCTGGATCGGAACCATGATGGAAAGCTGAGCAGGCGGGACCTGAAGAAACTTTGTTACAAACAGATGCCCTTGGAACACTGCGCATCACGATTTTTCTTGTAAGATCCCAGCCTGTTGTATAGTACAATACTATATTATAGTACCAATTTGAAGTTGAATTTTCCAGGATTAAACTCCTAGACCACCCTGTCTATGCCATACATGTAGATCGAAGTGTCAAAAGCAAATCTTAGGACACACTGTTTCACAAAGACTGAAACACACTTTCCTGTGCCCGGGTTGGTGTTTCTTTGTGTTTATGTACTGGGCCAGGTCTTGTGACAATGATGGGAACAAGAAAGTGACCCTGCAGGAGTGGACAGGCTGCCTGGTGGATCGCTCTGAAGCCTGGTTCCAGGAGTTCATGTGTAAGTGCTTACGTGCCCCACAGAGAACCCTTAGAAAACTGCACTGCAGCAAATAATGGCACTTATGAAGCTACAATATAATTTCAAATACAAATTTCAGAATGGTGAGCTTAATTATTATGGTTAGAACAAACTTAAAAGTGTATATTTGCCATATAAATGTACTTGGGTGAACAGCCACACCACTTTAAATAATACTGATGCAGCAGAATTAATTGCACTGTATAGAAAGTTTCTAAATGTTTCATTACAGTGAAATGCTTGGTTCCTGCAGCTTTAGGCGCAATGGGGAACAATAGTGAGAGGCTGTATGTCAGAAACAGTGTGAGGTTGAGGTTGCTGCACTGCTGTCCTATGACATAGAGAAGGATAGGTCACCTATTTCATTGCTGTGCTCTTACCCCACCACCCTTCATCTCCCCTACATTTCTCTCTCTTTCCTGTCTCTTCCGAATCCTCACTCACAAGCCTTCCTCTCACTACCTGCCTCTCTCACTCTCTTCTACCCTCTGTTTTCCTCCATCTCTCCCTCAGCTATGAAGATGGGTTCCAGTCAACTGTGTCGTGTGGAGGACAATAACCACTGAAGCACCAAGTTAATAAACTGATCAGGAGTCTCAGAGAGAAGGAAACACTCTCCCCTTCTCATGTCCTTTTGTATGCCTCCTGTCTGCAGTATTCTGAATCACAGTATTGTGAGCTTGCACCTTACAAGGAGCCACCTGGTGGGAATATAAGGTATAGCATGACACATTGTTTTGCAATTTGTGTTTTATTTTTTATCTGTAAAGTTCAGTCCATGCCTTGTGATTCCGACTTGGAAATAAGGCCCTTTCACCCACATGGACCTGTGAGAGTGGAAGAACAGTATTTAGAAGCATAAAATCAGAGCAGCACTTGCTGCTTCTGGAGGGCAACAGTCCTGTAGGTATCCTTAAATCACGACCTTCAGACCTGGAAACAACATTACATTTGCTTTTGCAAAAAAACAGGCTTCCATTTATCAAACAAGACTTCAGGTGCAATGAAACCTTCAGATTTCTCGCTACTGAACTGGACTGAGCATGAATCCAGGCAGAGGCCAAGTGGTACAAACTGAGACAATATTATCAGGGTAACTGCTCACAAAAGTTCAGAGGTGGACTGGTAGTATACTATGCTGCAGAGCAGGATCAGGAAATGGATAAAGTACCGTATCCTGTGAGTTTAGCCTACAAAGTCTTTGTTCCTATCTTTTTTCATTTTTGAGTAATTTCATTATGCTTGGCAGTCATGATTTTGAATTTTAACTGCCTTATGTTTCTCTTGCATGTCTTTCATAATAAAGTGCAACCTGATCAAGTCCTCTGTGGCGGTACTATGTCTGTGCTGAAGGGGTGCAGAACTGGAGGTGTCTTTCTAAGGGGTGAAGGGCAGAGAGAGCACACATTTGTATCATTTTATTTCTTAGTGGTCCACAACAGGGGTGTTATCACAGAAAAGCCAGTGATTGCCAGTTGGTTTCAGGCGTAGTTTTCATTATACAATGCATGGATACTCTAAAAACAGCAGCTCTCTATTGCCTCAGAGCTGAACAGCTGAGCAAGACTGCACACTGTCAGTGCTGAAATGTCGGACATCTAAGGATGCAACAAGGTTGCAGTTGCAAGTGGTGTTGGTAGACCCCTAGATGGCACTCTTCTCACTGGTCCACAGTTCTTACTGTAGGGTGTGTTGTCCTTTGGATCAGACATTAAACAACGATTCTGACTACTTGGCTGCTAAAGATTGTCAAAGCTCTCATGGCAATGTTTGTAAAATTAGGGGTATTAAACTTGCTTTACTGGCTACATTCATCTCAGCAGACTCAGCTGCTGTGTAGTGGGGGTGGAATGTATCACCCAGGAAGGTGCTGTACATTTGAGCTCCCCTAGCAGCCCGGACACTCAGTGGGATTTATCTTGAGTAAGGGGGCTGGTTCCCCCACCTTATCACTTGACCATGAGCAGAGAGTCCATGGTGCCCCTCTCCCTTATGCCCTGCTCATAGCGTAAGGACTACACACAGGCAGTACTGATTCTACAGAGGAAACAGCATATTTAATATGTAAGTAACTTACAATAAAGCACAAGGAAACATGCTCCTCCCTTAGATGTACAGTTTTCCTAGTAAAAGAATCACATTCTGGTCTGCCATCACATTTAGACATCAATACCTACAGCGTTTTTAAAAGCGGAAACAGTGTAATATTGAAGTATGCAAAGATCTGGGGTTTACAGTGAAGAAGACAAAGCAATAATGTTTGGCCCATGACTGTGTAAAGTCCTTCCAAACTTGTTGCTTATTAACACACAAGCGAGGGCATATGCACTGTATATTGTTAAGTAGGAAAAAAATTCTGACTCACTTCTGGAAAATAATTTGCTTTGTAGTTTTTTCCTTCCTTCATTTCAGCAACAGAGATTGGTTCTACGCTCAAACTGAGTTGGAGTGCACTGCTTCCTCTGAGCGGTACAAACTGCCGGCGCTAATGAGTGACCTGGCGAGCAAGCTGTGAGCACGATGCGCGAGTGCAGGGTGCCTCTGAAAGGGGCTTTGAATATCAAGCTCCCCTCCCTGCAGGGCCTTCTTTATTCGTGGGAGTGAAATGTTGGGGGCTAGTTCCCTGCGCTGCCCCCCCACCTCTCCAGCAAATGGACTTACATTCTTCGCTTCACCCTGTCTTAGTGCACCCCCTCCCACACACACAGGCACAATCCCTTACCCCCCGGGGCAATTCCGTGTTCACGACTGCACTCCCCTTATCTGTCTGCCCCATATGTCTCCCCCTTCTCACCCCCTCTGCCCAAACCCTCCACCACCCCCGTGATGTCGGAGATGGCGAGGTATTGTGTTGTGCTGGGGTCCCCTGAGAGAGCCGAGAGAATGAGTGAGAGTGCGCTGGAGCAGATGGGCTGCTGTTGATATGTGTTTAAAAATAAAGATTTCTCTTAAAAGAAAAAAAAAAAGAGGTTTCGTTCTTAAAGAGCACACGTCTTTATTCGACGTATATGGCGAACACTCTAAATATATCCATCCACTTGAGACCTCAACTGGAAATCATGATGTTTCAGACACGATCATAATAAAGATGAAATTGCATTATGCATGAAATGTAATGAACTATAAATTATAAATAAACAGTGGCATTCTGCATATCTTTCATGCAATTAGTTAATATAAACTTTTCTTTGCTCTCAGGGGATGGAAGAGTCCCGTAAACTGCTTCTGTTTTATTTATTAAGCAATAACATAAGTGAAAGAATCTGTGTGATCAAAAGAAATATCCAGGCCATATCTGATGACAGACTGACAGCTGGGATAGACTGCAGAGTATTTACTATGTTTACCTGCTCTTACTACAGTTGTAGCTTAATTTGTGTCCAAAGACTGGGAAACTAAAGTTTGAGTGGGTACAAGACTATGTTTTCACAGACTCTTTGTGTTCAGAGGCAATGAATTCTAGAGAGAAGGGCCACGCTGTGTGGTATGCAATATATTACAGTGAGATCATAATAAAGTTTAGAAAGATGAGTTGAACAACGATACAAAATGAAAAATCCAAAATCCAGCAAAGTCCTGTGTAAATTGTCGTGGTAAACCATCACAAGTTTGAGTGTCTAAAGATGATATTGGCATATCCAATGCAGAGCACAGACATGGGAGATAGAGCATATAAGGCTTAATATCCATCTCCGCCTTCAGCAAGCTACAGTCAAACTGTCATTTCATAGTAGTAAATTTAAATAATTCCATAATGTTTTAATGAAAGGTCCCACAAATTACAATGCAGTGCAGGACAGTTTCCCAGGTTGTCTTTCTGTGGCAAATTCTAAAGCAACTGCTTTTCTGTAGTATAGCATATTATGGCATCCTTTGCTGCTTGAAGCTGAGGTGATCCGTCTGTGGTGGGTGGAGCAGGCTCGGGGAGTGATATATGAGTGTCTGTCTGAGAAGCACACATGACTCAGGTGCCCCTTGCCCCGCTGCACACAGCTCTAATTAATGGGCTGCGTCCGGGACACTGACACTGCTCCCCGCCCCTGTCTCCTCTCCTCCCTGCAGAAACCACTTCCTACACAGCTCACACTGCTGAAGAAGGCGCTACAGGGCCAAGCTACTTCGTCTCTGCCTCGCACACGATCAGACACATTCCCTTGTCCCCACACGCAGACAGCGTGTCTGTATACCACTCCAAAACTTTTCTCAACAGATCGAGGCCAGGAAACATTCCGCAAGCAATGTCATGAAGGGATCAGCTTCAAGAGTATACAAGGTGACAGACCTATCCATATAGAAATGAATGAAATTGAAGCCCCTTCATCTCTCTACATTTCCAGCACCCTCGCTTAAAATAGTGCGGTTAACGAAGAGTTAACATGTGCAAGTTGTGCATCAACACCCCCTCTCCCACCCACTGTCGCTTGCTGCACCCCCCCCCAACACACACCCGTTACCCCACCACACACACATACATACACTCACTGCTCTGTGTTTGATTTGTGCAGCTCACTTACCAGACAGCTCTGATCTGGGCCGTGGGGAATATAGACTGGCCGGCGCAGCTCACAGGCTGACTGTCGATCGGAGAGACAGGCAGGCAGGGTGCAGCGTGCTCTGCAAGGGGCACAGGGACATGAACCATTCTGACAGCGTGCCCAGAGCTGGCTGTACCAGTCCCGATGAGACAGGAGCCATGAGCAGGGGTTTTGGTTTTTGACTTCTGCCAGGACGCTTTGTGTCACTTTCCTTCTGGATCGGCTCCTTGGTGTTTTGGAAGAAGACTTCTTTTACCTTCTTTTCCTCCTTCTTTTTCCGACCGGACTTCAGTGGAGGGATTACCCCGCAGGATCAGAGAGAGGGGCTTTGTTACGACAAAGCCCAGACAGAGCACAGCAGCTTGCCTTTCTCGAAGTGCCATTGAGGAGAGACACACTTTCTGTAACTCAGGTGCTGCTCCTTCTCCCATCTCTCCCTCTTCCTCTACGTCTGCTTCTTTCTTGAGGATGGTATGGTGCAAAGTGTGGGGCTATCAGCTAGCCAGGGCAGAGGGGAGGTTCTGACTGAGCAGACAGGTACTGACACACCGAGACAGTGGGAGAATGAGCCAGGCTACAGCAGGTGTAGAAAAATACAATACAAAGGCTTAGAAGCGCACTGTACTGTACTGTACATCCTATGACACCCCGAACTTCTCAGTAGGCTGTGTGGGGCTCTAAATGTGGAAGGAGGAATACCCTGTTGTAAGCTTGTTCTGGTTTCTAATCAGTTCATTGCACAACAGCACAGATGTGTCCCCTGCAGCCTCTCTGAGTCATGGCCTGACAGTTACATGTTTTTCACATTTTTACATTTTAATGAATGTATTTATTTTTAGCATTGAATGCAAAATAAGGATAAGTCCAAATTTTGATTTACTCAATCTGGTTTCAAAGGCAGTATCGGTTTTTGGAAAAGAGAGGCTTCAGAAATAAAAAAGCATAGTGCATTGGATGTCGAGAACAAAATGTATTTATCTAGTGTGATGTTCAGGTAAGCTTTTAACTGGGTCTTCTGCTTGTATAAATTCAAACAGCCCAACTGCTGAGAAGCCTATACATATTTCATATAAGATATTTTCAAAGACTCAACTGTATGCTATTTAAGTAGACTGGATCTGGAACACATACACTGCCTGTATTGCTATATTCATATGTTTAAAGACCCATTTCTCACAGATGCTGAGGTGAGTAATCAACTGTCTTTGTGTCTTTTTACTTTGCTTCCTGTTCTGTGTTGTTGATAATATTCAGACTCAATGCTGTGATAACATCCCTGGGGCTGCCGAGCCTACAAAGCTAATGATGACTTTTGTAACTGTAGAAAAGTAAAAGAAAGCAGGAGAGCAGTCATGTTTTGAATATGTGCCATCTGTGCTATGCTTTGTACTCTTAGGGAGAAAGAAAATACTATAGTTTTTATGACACTTTCTGAAGATACTGCTTGAATGAATTATACTGTATTTCATTAAAATGCAATAAAGTGAACTAGGAACAGGACATTTTGCCTGTCAGAGCTTGCCAACTTTCTGTAAGTCTAGTAATTCTAAAAATGTCAACCTAAGGTTAGAGAGACAACATCTTACCAGCATCTACAATCCAAGGATTAGTAATTGTTCCATAAAAATCCAGTTAAAAATTGTATTCTAACATTGACAGAGAATTGACCTGCATTTCCATGCTTCCATGCACAGCTGTCATAAAAATCAGTTTGATTTGACCCGTGTCACTGTGCTTGTCCTTCCCAGGTGTCCCAGCAGGCTGCAGGAATGGCTGTATATGCTCACTGTTATCTGATCCTTGCTCTGCTGTGTGGTCCAGTGTGGCCAGTGGGGCCCCCTGCTCTGTTGTCTGAAAATGAGGTCCCACTACGCCCCTCTGTCTTGCTTTCCAGGGGAAAGCTAACCCCCATCCGTCTCCCTAAGGACCAGCTACGGAGGTGAGAGGACATAGAGACACTGATAACATCAGCACTGTATTGCAAGGCAATAACTTAGGCATAGCGATCCCACCTATATCAGTAGACAAGTCATACAGACTTCACAAACGAGGAAAATCTGTTCATTTTGTAACTGAGAAGTTCCAAGCCATAACCATATCTATGGGGGAAGTAAGTGTCTATACACACAGGGCATACAGTATGTATGCAAGTTTGCAAAGGTGTCAAATTTATTTTCTTAGACTACAGAACACTTTTCTTATAATTGTCATAAAGCAGTGAACAAAGTGGCAACCCCAGTAGTAAAACCTATACATTCCTGGAAATTCTTGTGTTCCACATAAGACCACATGTATGTTTCATGAAATGAGCCTACAACTACCCTATATATTTATATAACATATAGACATCTGATATAGGCTTATATCCATGTATATTACTATACTATATACTGTATAGAAAGCAAAACAAAGATGTGATTGATAAATATAAGAATGAAGGCCCATACAGTCTAGGGTTGGGTGTTAAGAGCAGCAGTTCCAATGAATTATGAGTATGAAAATTAGTTAGTAATACTAGTTAAGATGGCATTCTTTTATAATTTCACATTCCACTCTGGTGTTAATTTATGACTTTATGTGCCCAAAAAACAATTTGATCACTGGACAAAAAGCTAAATACTCTAATATTCAGTCCCCCAAAAAGCAGACAAAAAGAAAAGGTTGTGCCAAGGAATCACAACAGACAGAGTGTCAAGCTGTCATGTACAGTTGCAAAATGCAGTCCTGTAGAGTCACTAAATACCACCCTTCTTTTGTCTGTTATCTGGTTATCTGGCAGGCTGTATTTCACACTGCAGAAGGGAAGCCCTGCATTTTCTGTGGCTGTGAGTCCGTGTGATGTGCCCATTGAGTGGAGTCTGACTGTCCGGATGCTACAGAGCAAGCCAGCCACACCCTTGCACTGTAAGTGTACACTGAACACCTGCACATAGCGTGTGTTGTGCTGTGCACTCTGGTTGACTTCACTTGGTGTGTTCAGGGTTCTTACTTATGACAACATAGTATAAGACTCTACACGTAAGCCAGGTTATGCACAAACTGTATTAGGGTACTGAAGAATACAGATGTTCCATAATAGTTTGCTTTAAGTTGTTTTTTTTAATCAACGTATTATGGATCAAAGTATTGTACATTACACTTTTAGTAGTCCAGCTGGTAACATATCTGTTATCCTCTGTCTCCTCTGTCTCTTTTAATCTAAATTTAGTTAGACCATGTTCAGTGATAATTAAGAGCTTCTTCTCAATCTCATTTTATGCAAATTTAATGGAAAAATGCTAAAGAAGTAAATAACAGTAGATTAAACAGATTAATCGTAAAAACCATCAATGGGCCAGATGGAGAATGTTGTTCATTAAATATCTGAGGAGCATAACAGATCAAAATTCATTCGTGATGACAATTGTGTTAGATAAAACGACAAAGATGAATTCATCATTAACCTTCAGATGACATTAAATCTTGAATTAATGAAGTGTCCCCTATCAAACATGGTTTCTATTCAGGGTAATAATTTTGAATGCAATTAAATAATGATAAATAATCAGAAGTTTGGGTAAAACCATATCAAGTACAAATTCACCAAGTCGTTGCCATTCATTTTAAAATCGTAACTAGCTTTTATTTATAGATATAGATACAGATATTGATACATTCAAAAAAGGATCAAAGGAATTTCCTTTACTGAGCTGTAAACATTCCATCATTTAAAAATAGATTTTTAAATAGTGATAAATCATTCATAAGAGTACCATCACTTAATCCACCAAGGGGCAGTATTCCTGTGCCATTTCTGCGCACTTTAACAACATTAATAGCTACAGCCAGTATGCATGTGTTCCCACAAACATCATTGAGATCTTCTCCTCTATTAAGCATTCAATAAGCCATGTCGCCACTGGGATCTTCAAGATGTCTCCCAAGTATTGTTTTTTCTTACTGTCAAACTGCTCTGTGCTGTACTGCACTGCGAGTCTGACCTGCACTGCGAGTCTCTGTGTCAAGGTCAGAGAGCCACAGGGGAGCTGCCTGCTGATGCACATGACGCATTGTGGCGTGCTTTAGTAAAGAGAGGGAGTGAAAGACACACGCTAGATACACCATATAAAACAAGACTGACACATAGTTAGGGAACAGTCAAAACAGCACACAGTGCTCTTCTGTAGCATTGTATCCCTCACAAATCTTAGTTCATCTTGTTGTCCCACATTTACAGTAGTTTGAAAAATGTTGAAAAACACAGAAAATGTTGTCTAACCTTTGGAGTTTTCCACTTCCATTGGCATTCACTTTTACATTTTATGTAAGCACATATCTGTGAAAGAAGATTTTTTTGTCAAGCAGATTGTATACTTCATTTCTCTGTTTAATTGGTAACACAGTAGTCTGTGGTGGAGGCTGAGGCTGGAAGAAATGTTAAATGTCCCAGAGCACTTGTTGCTGAGTGTGTGAACTGGCTCCAGCCCTGGTATGAGCATTGTTCTCCATGCAGGGGGTGAGAAGAAGAGCATGGCAGAGGTGTGGTGGAGAAGCTCCGGGGCCGAGAAGCTGCTGCACACATACAAAGGCAACGCCATGGACACCTACAGCATCCCACCCCACACTCAGGCCTCCTTCTACATTCTCAAGCTACGTTCGGTGGAGCAGGACACTAGGATCTCGGTGTACCTGCAGGATGGAGGGGGGTCTCTGGAGGCATTCCCCCAGCTGCCCCCAGACCCTCGTATTCGCATTGTGGGCTTGGGCATGACCAGCGTTACACTCTCCTGGAGCCCCAGCCCTTCAGCCCTGGGGCACGGGCAGCAGAGGTATCACTACTGTGTGCTGGCCAACCGCAGACACAACTACAAGAGCATGTGTGCAGTGCAGGAAGCGATGCGCAAGGAGAAAATGAAGATGGGGGGAAAACAGAAGGCAGCTCCGCGGCCATTTCTCAAACAGGAGTGGTGGAATTTCCCCAAGAGCGGCCAGCGGTCATCTTCGCCCCTGCAGAGCGAGTCCCTGGCTGTGCTGCATGTTTGCACTGGCACAGAGACTGTGTACACGGTGTCGGAGCTGTCCCCAGACACGCAGTACTACTTCGACGTGTTTGTGGTGGACCAGCTAAACGGCACCAGCGTGGCATACACAGGCACCTTTGCCCATACACACCAGGAGCCCCGGCCCCCCGTGCAGCCACTGGGCGAGGGCGAGCTTAGGTGGGTGACTGTCCGGGGTGGGGGAAGGCCGGGTGAGCACCTCAGCTTCCGTCCCCGGGGCTGGCAGCAGAGCGCCCTCCTCACCCTCCAGAAATGTGGCGCAGGGAAGGTGCGAGCCACCATCACCAGCAAAGCGGACCAGCTGGCGTCCCAGGAGTTGAGTGAAGAGGTGACTCAGATCTGGGTGCAAGGAAAGCCCACTTACGTGATACACCTGGAGACTGCGCCGCCGGGGGGACCAGCAGTATCAGGGCAATGGGGAACCGCCGTGAAAATCCAGGCCTCCTCTGCGTACCACCGCCAGGCTGCCCCCCTGCTCCCGGCTAGCCTGCAGATTAAGTCCTTCAACAAGCTGCGCAGCTGTCATTCGGTCACCCTGGCCTGGCTGGGGACAGAGGAGAGGAGCCTGTACTGCGTGTACCGCCACAAGCTGGAACAGGGCGAGGGGGGGGACACAGGGAGGTGTATTGGGCCAGAGTCTAGAAGTGACGTGGAAAAAGTGCTCTGTAAATATTTCCAGGAGCTCAATCCCCGTCGAGCGGTAACCACGGCCACCATTGGAGGTCTGGAGCCTGGCATGGCCTACTTGTTTGATGTCTATCTCATGAGACCCTGGGGGATTCCAGTCAAATACCTCAGCAAGGTGGTCCGCACCAGGAGAGAATGCTGAATACATTCAAAACTCACTTTCTGTAATTGACGGGACTCCACGTCAACAGCACCAATGAAGGCACTCCACAACACAACAGGCAGCTACCTTGGGGAAACACCATTAAACCCATTTGTGTCTCATATGATGTCTTATAAGCATTTCTTAGATCATTTGTATTAAATCTGCTTCACATGCTCCAAAAAATCCGGAAAACCCCATCAGCTGCCCCTTTCACAACTATTGTCTTTGTCTCCCAGTGTGAAGGCAGGGAAAAGATCACCTCAATATCTCTGTAGCACCTGAGATATTCTGCTATGCATTTTCCATAACGATCTAGCTGAGAATGTGCCTGGCAGAGCAGGAAGGGAGCTGGCATGAGAGTGGTCCAGCAGGAGGGCTGGAGATGACGGTAGACAGAATGAAGGTGTGACCTGCCTCAGCAGTGCTGGGACATTTGAACACTCACTATTGAAAGCCCAAGGAGATATCAGTGTTTAAATTATGGTCCATTTAAAGACACACCAGAATGCATTACTTAACACTTTTAATGTGCTGTCAATTAATATGTGGGTGGGGAACCTGTGAATCGGTATGTGTGTTATAAAATTGTCGCCCAAACAATTGAACATATTTCAGTTTCCTTGGAACGTCCTTGGAATTCAAGCAAGCACCAATGTTATAATTATAATTATAACAGACACACACAGTATGCATGTACTTTATAGTACAGGTATGTGAAGACCTAGGTTGATTGCATGCTCTGATTATTATAGCTCTTACAATAAACTGTAAAATGTATTTTTTTGCATATGACTAATTTTCAAATGCATTCAAATGCATTTGAGGACTTTTAAATGTACTTTGTGTGTAATTTAATTCTTTTCTGAATAAATTCATAGCAATAGGCTTTATTTTGTATGTGTTTAGCTGAAATAAAGTGCTTCCATCAAATGCTAATATGACTGTCTGGTCCTGTTTGATCCATTTTACTTGGACAAGAGATGAGATGACTTATTCACTTGGTCTTGATAATACACCAGTCCCGTTTTAGTTTTTAAAAGTACTGTGTGATATTATATTGACGACTATAGGTTAGGCCTGAATAATAAAACAAAGTATGGTTTTTGGTATACCATTGAAATCATGAAAACATTTGCAAAGCACATTTTACTGTCCTTGAGTGAAGTTTAAAATTGCTTTTAGCTATAAAGTCATGCTTTTAAAGTAGATGCAAAGGGATATTCAGATCAAAGTCAGTATTAGACATAGCATTTGCCCGTATTAAAAGTGTCCGTCATAAAATAAAGCATAAAACAGCTGGAGTTTTTTAGTTCTAAATGCAGAAATAATAAAGAATTCAGTTTTTTGGGTGTAAATTGTAAAAAGTAAGTGGAGTTCATCAAACAGATACAAAAGCACCGAGTAATGAAGGAAGACTGGAAGACTAACGACACCTTTATCCAACTGATGAATAGTTTGCAGCTCTCCTGTGGGCTGGGTTCCACAAGTAGCTGTAACTAATTATGTGTTGATTTGGAGCAGTTAAATCCTGATGACATAAAGAGCACCCAGCATGGGCCCCCGCCTACAGACCTGCGCACCTCTGTAGAAATTGTATTTCCAATGAAAGGGTAAGGAGCTTTGATTCATGAAGTGCCTGCTGCAATGTGTCCATCTGTTGGTGTGCACACACTTCTGTGTCTGTTTCCTGTGGGTCCCTTTGTCTGTCTGGATTGCGACATCTTTTTTTTCCAAACCAAAAACACCTGCCGATGCTTTCAATCCATTCAGCATCACTGGAGCCCTTGAGTTCATCCAGGTGGACCGTGTGCCATTCATCCAATAGCGGCATTTTCCAGAGTTACTGACCCTTGTTGGATTTCAGAAACAAGTCTGCATCAAGACACAGGACAGCAACAGAGTGAGAGCAACAAGAGGAGTTCAAAACGGCATTTTCAATAAAATAAATCAGTAGTTTAAAAAATTGGAAAAAATATTGAATCCAAGGAGGCAAGTGACTGCTTAAGAAAGACAGAAAGAGTGGCAAACCTAAAGGCAGGGAGAAACGGATTCTGGAAATCTAAATTCCGGGAACTGTGTGGAGAGTAAGAGGTGGAGACCTGGAGAAAAACAAAATAAAGACAATGGGAAAGCTAGTCGAGGTTTGTAGTAGGAGATATAGAATCTAGGAATCAAATTAAGGAGAGAGTGAAAACTTGTATTCGGCACACACTTCACAATATGTATTGTGGCTCCAGGAGGCAGGGACAGAGATGGACAGGAGAGTTTAATTTTACTGTCTCACATTTTTCCTTTCTGTTACCATTACTTTGTGTTGTACTGTGTCCTGTTTGTTCCTGTCCTGTCTGTGACTCAGCCTTCCTGAAACTCTGGACTGTCTGCTCTCCGATATTCACTCCTGCTCCTGGAGGGACCTTCATCAAGTGTCTTCCGGTTTTCCTCCCACCCTGGACTTTTAATGCCTTGATTTAAATCACGTGTGCACTTAAGGGTCTTTATTTATACCACAGCTTCCTACGTCACCTGTAAAACCTGATGGACTGCAGACCTCCGGGAAAAGAAGTGAATACCACTGCTCTAGCACTTTCCTAGGAGTGCTGCCATCTGTGTTCTCCTGCAATAAACTGGATGTTGCTCCTCCTTGTGAGCAGAAGGACTCACAGCTTATTTCATTCATCCATCCAGTTTCTAACCAGTTTGTCCAATACAGGGTTGTGGGGGAGCTGGAGCCTATGCTGGTAAGGGGTACACCCTGGGTGGGACGTCAGTCCATCAGTAGGCACACACAGACATACACACTCTAAAGTCAACTTCCCAGAACCACAGCACCCAGAGGTAACCCACACAAACACAGGGTAAATTGCTGTGAATCCTTTCAATCTGGTGTTATATATTATTAATACACAGAAATATGATAACATTTCTAATATGACAAACTGCGAATAGAATACTTAAAAATTAATTATATGTGAATATAGGAACTATTTAACAAAGGCCTAATGCACAATTTATAGATTTGTTTCAATTTAGTCGCAACTTTAAAACCTCCTCTGTTTCAATGCGTCGCAAAATTATATGGCAAAACTGTAGACTCGTTTTCAGGTTTCACCACCTACCAATAGTTACGTATGATGAAATACATATAAGGTATATAGATTTTTTTCTTATGAACTTTTTTTTTTTAAATTGAACACTGTAATAATCAAATTCAGTCTCTTGATTTAGTTCTTAATGGAAGCATCTTGGACAGCAATTACTGATGTGCATATTTTTTGCCTCTACTAGCTTTGCATATTGGGTTGGTTCAAATTCTGTCCCCTCCTCCTGTCACAATGGTCCCAGCTCTAACACATTTGTTGGGGAGCATTGATGGACAGCAATCTCCAAGTCTAAACATACGTTTTCTGTAGGATATAAGTCAAAACCTTAGCTGGGCTACTCCAGAATATAAATTTCACCTTGTCAAATTATTCCAGTGTAATTCTGGCAATGACTTTGGACTAGTGAACAACAGCCCTTGGCTGACTAAAGCAAGTTTTTCACCTCGTATTTGTTTGTCACCTGAGCTTTGTATCATCTGTCAAGACTGTCCCTCAGTCTTGACAAGCCGCCCAGCCCCTGCTGATGGGAAACTGGCACCCCGTGCTTGACACTGGACATGGTGCTGACTGGGTGATGTGATGGACTGAGCTTATGCACATGCAAAGCTTTGCTCTTAAACCAGAAAGTTCACTTTTTGTCAGACGGGACTACAAAATCGTCTCCCACTTGTCTGCTTTATTATTTACATGCTTATACAGTGATTCAATTTTGAATAGGGACCACGGTATAGGGATGATCCCGATCTCAGCCACAGTACTTTGCCAGGCTTGTTGGCTCCACAGGGGCAATCCTACTACAGTAATCCAGCTGCTCACTTTGGAAGAGTAGCTTGAACTGGGTATTATCTGGGCAGTATAATATTCCTTTTAAGAATGATCAGCAACTGTGAAATGCTGAACTTTGCCAGAGCTGTGCTTTTCTACCACTTTAACCCTGACTTCTTGGCATGTTGTAAATCTGTTGTAAGCTATGGCTTCAAATTCAAAACGTACTGTATCTGGGGGAACTTTCATTTCAAGAAGAACCACCTTTATTACATACCGAAACAATTACACTACTTTTGTGAAATTTTAAATGAAGCTGATCTGATCTTGGCTAGCAAAGGGTTGAGTAATTGTGCGATTGAAATTCTTGTAATTTTATTTAAATGTAATGAACTGTACCATATCGGTGGCAGAAATACAGTATTTTTCTCTGGCTCTAGTACAAGCCGGACCATGTAAAGGTTTATTCCATGGTGAAAAGAGAAGAAAAACACAAAGTTTCGGCTGCGGCGCCTTCTTCGGGTTACTTGAACTACATGTATAAATGGTCTCAGACTAAAGATAAGAGATGCCCATACGATAGTTGTTCGGCTCAAAAAAGTCTCCCGAGACTGTCTAAAGGATCCTCTGGAAACTAAAATACTACATCGCCTAAAGACTACTAATGGGTAGACAGCAGTTTATCTGCTTTGATAAAGGTGAATCTGTCCTGTAGTTTTCATGAATGTTCAATTACTTCAAAACAAAAACATTATAGGATTCGATTCTGGCTTGATTTAGGTTTTAGATTCTGGTTTGATTTAGGAAAATGTCCAGTAACCTAATGAGGAATAACTTATTAATCGGCGAGTCTGTACCTAGATGCACAAGCTTTTTTTTCCGTTTAATCTTCAGCGTGGACGCGCTTGTCAGGACGTGCGCGCTCACACACGGTCTTACGTAGTTACGTCCCGCGCCAAATTTCGGAGCTGGAACGGCGGATAGAAGTGGAAGGTTGAGGACTGGATATAAATTGGTAATATAGGTTGTTTTAATTCGATTTGATTGATTCTTTGACGTTTTATAGCATAGTAAAATCTGGTAAACCGCTGGCGGTCAGGTGAAAGAGCCGGGAGACCGTCTATACGATACTTAGTTGTTAGGCCAAATCAATTTAAACAAATTTCTGCGTCCGCTGCTGGTGCACCAACTTTCGCAGTGTTTGGAATCAGTGTTGTATTGCTCTAGGATGTAGACTCAAAGTCTGTTTATTGTCGATGTTTCATTTGTATTACGAAACATCAGTATTGTGTAATTATGCAACTGCTGTCGGTATTCATGTTATATAATACGTAGTCGTCTTTTTTTTCCTGAAAGCTGTTTCTTAGCAAAAACAGTCTGTTCAAATGGAGTAGTAGCGTCGGGGCAGTCCTGCAGGACGTGCTTGGCCGCCTGCTTTTCGCTCCGTTTAATTAAGTGCATCGTGTGGACTCCCTAAGGTTGAATCCTCGACCTGCGCCAGGGCAGGGGGTGATTCCTCTGTGCTTTGGTCAGGTGCTTTCTGAGCTGCTGGCGCACGTGTCCGTGGCTCCGCTGCTGGGCGTGTTCGTGTTCGTGTTCGTGTTGTTCGCCTCGCCTCGCGTGTCGTGGTTTGTTTGCGACTGGTGCTCGTGCGCTTCAGCCGCCTGCTTAGCCGATAGCAGCTTGTGCCCGCGCGCAGGTTCACTCCCTTTTTTCTCCCCCCGTCAGCGGTGCAGGATCCCGGTCAGCCGCCGACAGCCGAGCGCGATGGGCTTGATCGACCTTTGCCAGGAGCTCTTCGGCTCTCCGGACCTGTATCAGGTTCTGAGGGTGAGCAGGGGGGCGTCAGGCCCGGCAGTCCGCCGCGGGTATTACAAGGTGTCGATGGAGGTCCACCCGGATAGAGCCCCCAGTGACCCGCGGGCCACCGAGAAGTTCCAGGTAAAAGAAGGAATACGACCAGAATAACATCCCCCCGCTGCGCTGCGGCCGTTTGTTTCTGTTGGTTTTATTTCCTTCCAGCATGGGGGGTATGTCCAGCTATCCACACCTCCGGAAAACGCCACCAAGTCTTGTATGTCTGCAGTCCATCAGACTTTACAGAAATGCCATACCCTGCTTTGCTTGCTTTTTTTTACGGCAAACATAATAAAAATAATAATAATTGCTTACATTTATATAGCACTTTTCTGGACACTCCACTCAAAGCGCTTTACAGGCAATGGGGACTCCCCTCCACCACCACCAATGTGCAGCCCCACCTGGATGATGCGACGGCAGCCATAGTGCGCCAGAGCGCTCACCACACACCAGATATCAGTGGGGAGGAGAGCAGAGTAATTAAGCCAATTTATAGAGAGGGATTGTTAGGAGGCCATGATTGATAAAGGCCATGATTGATAAAGGCCGATGGGAAATTTGGCCAGGACGCCCGGGTTACACCCCTACTCTTTTCGAGAAACAACCTGGGATTTTTAATGACCACAGAGAGTCAGGATCTCGGTTTTACGTCTCATCTGAAGAACAGCGCCTGTTTACAGTATAGTGTCCCCGTCACTACAGTGGGGCATTAGGACCCACATGAGCCGCAGGGTTAGTGCCCCCTGCTGGCCTCACTAACACCTCTTCCAGCAGCAATCTTAGTTTTTCCCAGGAGGTCTCCCATCCAGGTACTGTCCAGGCTCACACCTGCTTAGCTTCAGTGGGCTCCCAGTTGTGAGTTGCAGGGTGATATGGCTGCTGGCATATCATGCAGCCAGAAACAGGCAAACTGGATATTACGTGAACTCATGTGACCCAGACATGTAATTTACATGTGGCGTGGTACAGTAGACCCTTCTCCAATGCATACTTGGATTGGACACGAAAAATATCAATCAGAACAAATCTGTCAAATAAAAATAAAAAGGACTACCCACCATCTTCACTCTTACTATTATTAATGTGGTCAGCTCCTCCGCATCGCCACACAGGGCCCTCTCTCTGTCGCTGTGGGAGGTGGGAGGTGTGCGACTTGCCACGAGGCGTTCAGTTCAGATGATTGCCGTTTTGCCTCTTTTTGCACTTCTGTTTTGATCAGTACCCTCACCGAGCAGAATGAGATTCACAGCTCAACGCAGCTGCAAGTGAAATTGGCAGAGAAGGTAAAGATTCTGGACATTCTGGACTATGAGACTGCTCCGTTTTCACCATTCAGAGACCAGTGCTTCCAAATTTGACATGTACATATGGTGACTAAAAAATGTTCTGTAATAGATTTATGATAAAGTATAGACGGGGTCATTCATTAGCGTGCAGTGTAGGTATTAATGGGTGGTCCCCTTCACGCATCCCTGTTCATTTTGTAAGGTGTGAAGTTGCCAAATGACTGCTTTGGAGGAATGTAACGCACAGGCTGGACAAGGGGTTACTGTAGCTGAACCTGTTCGGAGCTGTACTGTGCAGTATGAGCCGGTGTGACGGTGTGCTGCTGTGCTGCAGACTCTGGGGAAGGTGTACGCCGTGCTGAGTGATGCGGAGCAGAGGGCCGTGTACGACGAGCAGGGCATCGTGGACGAGGAGGCCGACAGCCTGCAGCGGGACCGCTGCTGGGAAGAGTACTGGAGGCTGCTCTTCCCCAAGGTAACTCCGTCAGGGTGCCTCGGCTGCAGTGTGGAGTCCCAGTGGACTGATAGTTTCGTGTGGAACATGATTTGCTGATCATCACTGATGCTTCCTTCCGTTGGTTTGGCTCCTGGAGTCAATTTGTAAACCTTCAGGTTTTTCACCCCTCTTAGACGAGGTGTAACCACTGGCTTTTTTTACTGTTTAGTTTTGATGTAGTGTCGTGATTAAATTATGGACTGCCGAGTTGCAGGTTATCCTGTTTGTTTAAGTTTCTCGAGCTGAGGTCAGATGAGACTGTGGTGTTTGCAGGATTCTGGCACAGACAGACAATCCCTAGTGTGTTGAATGGGATCTCTCAGGATCATCAATGGAAATGCTTTACTTGAGCATTCACTTGACAGCATTACTGCTTTTAAGATTTTTAGATTTTTTATTGTCTTAACAGTTGGTATATTGCCAGTTTATCATTCATGCCTGTTTGATATTTTGCAAAGGGATCTAAAACTTTTTTCAAAAAACAGACATTAGACACTCCCTGTGACAGATGACTATGGCTGTCTCACTAACATTAGTCCTACTCTATTACTCAAATACATTGGCATGTTTAGCAGTGATGAAAAGCATCGTGTTTCTTGCTTATCGACGAGTGATGCACACTGCAGGGTGTGTTTGGATGAACTGCTTCAGGAGAGGCCTATATTACACTACTGCCACATGTTCAGAATAAGGAGCGTGTTCAGATTATTTGTAACCATTGTTATGTTCACTGTTTCTTTGTTAGGGATTGTTGTGGGAGTTTCTGATTAGATCTCTCCATGCAGTTGCTAGCTTTGTTGTTGAAATTTCCTTTTTTAAACACTGGTGTATTTTAATTCTATTACTTTTGCTTTTATCTTGCCACTACATTTTTAACATTTAAAACTTAACCCCTCTTTTCCTCTTTGATGCCTAGCTGACAGTAGAGGACATTGTTAAATTTGAGAACAAATACAAGGGCTCACAGGAGGAGAAGAACGATGTGCATCAGCTCTACCTGAAGTTCAAGGGCAACATGGACAAGATCATGATGTCGATACTTTGTGGCACCTATGAAGACGAGCCTCGCATACGTGACCTGATCCAGGAAGGTATAGATGCTGAGGACCTGCCTGCCTATGAAACCTTCACCCACGAGCCTGAAAAAAAGAAGGTGGCACGCAAACGAAAGGTATGTTTTTCTTCTCTTCTCCGCATGGAATAAATCTTTACTCCTTCCTTTTCAGCCCACGCATGCGAACACAGCTCCCTACTTGAACTAAATGTTTTTGTAGTGTCTTCCACCAGGAACTTACTGTGTTAAGTTTCTGTGTTTATTCTATGATTAACCCCCCTTTTAAATGCTGTATTGCAATCTAGTCAAAATGCAATAACGTATTTCTCACTGGGTATAGGTTGACATTATTTACTGTAATTATTTTTAAAATCTTAATTGTAAATATTGTAAACAACATGCAGTGAATTTCTGCACTGTTGAAAAGAATATTGTAGGGTTAATATCAGTAATCTGTCACCTGAAAACGTTTTAAAGGATGGAGAAGGCACAACTGTGACATTAAGTGAAAAGCATCTCACTGTGTTTTGTAGTGAGTAGAGTTTAATGTTTTAACTGAAAAACAGTTGGCTAAATTTAAATTTTAAAGGGACTTTGATGTTTGAACCAGAAGGACACAAGTGGAAACTGTGAAAATGTATTTAAACCAGAGAACATGAGATACTTTTTTATTCAGATAAGATCTATTTATTAGCCCTATACAACTTCTTGTATTAGGAATTAAGTCTTTTCACATACCCCAGCTTGCTCTCCATGAGACGCAGACACACAGACAGGGAGAGAAGCTTGGCGTCAGAGTGCAGGGCCAGCCATTGTACAGCACCCCTGGAGCAGTTGGGGTTAAGGGCCTTGCTCGGGGGCCCAACAGAGTAGGATTCCTCTGCCGGCTGCGGGATTTGAACCGGCAACCTTCCTTAGCCGCAGTACAACTGCCCCGCCCCCAAAGGGTTGTGGCCATATGGAACAAGTCACCCAGGCAGTACCTGAGTATTTGTTAAGGCCAATACCCTTGACTGCTTTCAAGAACTAGCTGGATGAGATCCTAGTTTCAATCAACTGCTAACTACCAAACAAGCTAGATGGGTCGAATGGCCTCCTCTCATTTGTTCTTATCATGGTGACCAAAATGGCCCACAGTATATTAAAGATATTACTAATACACTGTAGTTAAAAGCTCCTAGACTGATTTTGTCTATGACAATTGTTCCTAATATTGTTTGACTTTTTATTGTTTTTTCACATTGGTGAAAATGCCAACATGAACATCTAAATGATTTTCATTTGTACCTTCTTCAAGCTCAGTTTCTGTTGGTCATTTCTGTTACCAGTGTAGTGAACCCGTGCAGAACAGAAACCTTCCATTCAGATTCTCATGTCCCAAAATTGAGACCTACATTTGATGATTAGAAATTGATATTGTTTTTGAATACATGCACACTTATGCATGTTGTTTTGAAGTTAGTTTTGTAAACTTGAACTTTTATCAACAGGCTGAGAAAGAGAAAAAGGAAGCAGAAAAATTAATAAAGGAACGGAAACAGAATGAAGAAGCAGAACAATTAATGAAGGAACAGAAACAGAATGAAGAAAAGGATCAAGATCTGGTGGCAGCATTGCAGGTAAGATGTTGACGTGTCTGCTCAGGGTGTCACACAGGCTGTGCACTCTGTATAACTCTCCATGTTCAGCCATGAGGATTTTCAAGTGCCACATTTTGCTGTAGTAGTCTTGAATTGCTTTAAAACAAGACAGCAAGGCTTTTGTACCATGTCTCAGCAGAGGTGCACTGATCAGTTTGGTATGTTGTGCCTTTAACTTAAAGACAGGCATAGTTGGTGCTTCTCATGTTAAGCTTCCCAACAAAGCAGATTTAAGTTGTTGCAATTATGACAGATTGAACTTCAGCCTCGGTGAAGTTATTGGAGATAAGTAGAAGCCAACCAACGACATTTTTCCGATGTAAACGATCGGACAGTTGAAATTATCATGGGACAAGGTTAGATGAAAGTGTGAAATGTACTGTTCAATACTTAACTATTTTAAAGCGCAGCTTTAGTAATGTTTTCCCATCCCATTTTTTCCCCAGACAAGGCAGAAGTCACGGGAACAGGAATTTAACTCCCTTTTGTCAGACCTGGAAAATAAGTACTGTAAGAAAGGAGCCAAAGGAGGGAAGGGAAAGAGACCGAAAAAGTAACAACTCTAGAGGCAGTGTTGTAAATAATTTAGGGCTTGCATTAAGAGGCACTTGTCACCCTACAACCACACACTAGTCACTAAAAGCTCAGGATTGAAAGATTTAACAATGTTAAATGCTGCTGAGAGCACATTATTTTCTCCATAAATGTGTCTACCTAGAACACAACTATTTTTCTTTTTAACTGTTTAAATGTCCAAATGAGGGTTTTTTTTTTTTGCTTTTCTCATCTCGGTCCCTAAGCTGGGCTCTTGTTCTAGTGCTAGTGTAAAAGTTCTTGAAAGTACATCAAAGAACTTAGTGTTTGATCTAGACAGTTTGATCAAAGTTCTAGGGTGTATAGGTGTATAGTTAAAAATGTTTGTTGTGAAATTGCTGTTATCTTACTAGAATCACAACAGTTATTAAAGATAGGTGTTTTGCAATTGTGTATTCAAGGTTTTGTGTTCATAAAGCAAGTTAAATTGTTTATATTATGTTTTAGGAGAATTTTTCTAAATCTATATTGGATGGAAATTTTGATCTGCTCACCAACTACAAACCCAGAATTTGACAAAGGGCCTCTGTCAAAGACGAAGCCATTTTGTTTGAATATTGGCTTTCTAATTTAAGATTTGGTGGGTGAGAGTTTATGTCGTCTAGGCCCTTTTTTCTGACAGGTTGTTTGTTGCTTTTAATATAGCAATTTATTTGACCTGCTGTTGTATTTGTATTCAAATTAAAAATTTCATTTCACATCTTTGTCAGTGCATTACTATGAAGTGGAAATTATAGACCGGACAAAGTTCACTTCCAGTACCCAGTACAAAAAAGCTTTATTTGCTTGAGTAATTATATTACACAAGTTTTTGTGTATAAAATACATGGTACAGCAAGAAATATTATTGTAGAACATTTGTACATGTCAAGCTTTTAGTTAGCCCACTGAAGATGGACTCGTTTTGCCTGAGAGCTGGAGAAGCTGTACTGCCCAGCCTGTATGTGCTGGAGCAGCAGAACCTGGTAGTGCCAGACTGCCATTACCCTTCATTGCTGATGTGGAAATGGCCCTAAGTATTCTGTCACTCTTCATGGACTGCCTCTTACGTGCCTTATGTAACAGTGCAATCATTAGAGCTACTGAGAAAAAAAGTAGCCTTATGGAACTTTCCCTTTCAATATCACCAAGAAAATTGTATTTTCTGTAGTGTCTCTGTTGTGGTTTATGTGGTACAATACTATCAAACCATCATTATGCAAACCTGACCCACCTAAAATAGTCACATTTTTTGCTGCTTATCTGTTCCATCATAGACCAGGAATGTCAAAATGTGCATTATCTGTGGAGGAGAGACAAAAGATAACATCTAGACATTGGTAGCAACTGTAAAACTAGGCAAATTGCTTACGGTCTTTGGCAGCCACTTAAATTGTAATTCAGTGTACAAAAATAGGGCATTTAAAAAACTATGCATTCATAAAAGCTGCTTTATAAAGCGTCCGTGTACCCAGGTAATCCTGTGTGCTGTGCAGGCGGTTTGTCCTTGTGGCGTGTTGCAGTACAACATTGTATCTGTAGAAGGTGCTATAGCCCCTGTCGGCTGCTCCGTGAAGTGTAGCCACCCCTGGAGTAGGAGCGAGCTGGAACAGGCACAGGAACCAGCAGAGCTGAGGGAGGGCAAGACACGCAGAGACCCGTTTGGTACATGGAAAATAACTCGAGCACAGATGCTAATATAAGTTTGATACCCTACAACTAAAATGTCTCGTGTACCTGCGCGAGTAGCAAACAAAGTTGTAATGTGCTTTGTCAATGTTCAACATTTACATGTATTTAAGGCACTGAAAATAAATCCCTTCTAACTCATACACAACTCTTCACAAATGTAAAAACACTCCACCATCTGTTCGCATTTGTACAAACAAGGCCAGCTCATCTGATCCACAAAAACCCAGGATCGGTGATGGTACAGTCATGTTTTGAATCTGGAAAATATTTTTAAACATTCTAACTTTTTAAAGACCCCCAGCTGCAAAAATCCTACTGACAAAATAGTTTTGCTATTCGTTGGTTGGTTCTAACAATTCAAAATTGCCCTTTTTAAATTAAAAGATTTGTCTTTTTCAGTTTTTCAAAAATAAAAAATAGCGATATGAATGCATGAACACTCATACTTAATTTCAGCCCACACGACACAAACGCTCCCCTGCTGCCAGTGGTACCACCCCCCTCCAGGTTTCTATGAAAGGGACGTTAATGTCGGACTGCTATGCTGGTAGGATCAACTCTGCACTGCCACCTCTGGCGTGATGGATCTTGGCTGTCGAGAGCCCCATATAGTCAAAACAGGACAGGGTCCGGGAACGACAGGGGAGTGAATGATGCAGCTCTAAAAGCTGTGCCAGAATCTTAGCTGCAGTGAAACCACCCAAACACCCACTAGCAAGAGTATGAGGTGAGAGCAAAGTACATCTTTTTTTAGAATAGTACAACTACAGTAATACTGTACACCTGGACACCCCTAACACTCCTTGGCTAGCATACAGATGGGATTAGGGTCCAAGTTTTATATTGTAGCATTTATGAGGAGTCACGTAGCCTGTGAAGTTAATTTCCGTGAATCATACAATTTTTGCCAATCTTTGTTTTGCCCCTTCTGTCCATTAAATTATGCATTAGGTGTGTGAATATTTTTGGCACACATCGCAGAACATCTTTGAAAAAAAGATTTGACAGAATATGAAGCCCTTTACTTCGATGTAGAAAAAAGAAAAGCGAATTACCTGTATAATAGTGATTACTCATGATTATGGAGATACGGAAAAAAGTAGTTGCTCTTTCAGCACAACATGTAAAATGAACAGAGAAAAGACAGGGAGAATGACAAACAGTTGGGTGAAAGATGCTCTTACCCCAAAATACCAGCTTGTCACATGATCTTCCTATGCACAATTAACCTTTAGGATCCTGGGTTTGGTAAAGCAGGTCACTAATTCACACACTTACTTTACTACACACTGACCTGGTGGGGGCAGGGATGAATCAGGCTCCTCCTCATCTTCAATGGGTGAATGCCCGAGCACATGGTGCTGGAAGGAGTCCAGGAAGGAGGAACTGCTGATGCCCAGGCTGATACCAGTAACCCCAATACCCAGCGAATCTTCCAAAGGACAGCAGACAAAGTGGGCGAATCAGTCCAATAATAGAGCTCTTCTTACATTTCATAAACAGATTTAGTATAGAAAATAAGAATCTGATTCACCTATTTTTTAAAAACAGTCACATGCAATTTTATCATGGAATTCAGCCTTTTCAGTTGCTTTATGAGTGTTGAAAACAGACCAGAAAACATACAGTAAATGGAAATAAATCTATTACAATCAATTTTTTTACAATTCAGTCACTGTGGCGAATGTACGTTGTCTTGGATAATGTAATCAGCTATATAACTCGTCTATTGAACAAGAACTCTGTTGTTCAAGATTTTAAACCCAACCAATGGTAAAAGGTGTCTTTTAAAACCCTGTGCTGCCTGCATTTGCAAACCCACCTGTGCCTGCCGACCTACCCAGGCGGCCCTGTCCAACGCTGTCCAGCACAGTGAAAGATCGCCGGTACGGAGTGTCTGACTAAAACACAGAATGGTGTCAATGGCACAACCGAGATGTTTCCTAGACCTGTACATTAGTATATTTACTACCCCTTTGAAAATAAGCCCTTCCCTGGTCTCAAAAGGCCTTAGAAAAAATGTTAAGTTTGACCAACCAAAATAAAAATGAAAATAATTACAGTTTAGGAGACAAAGACCTAAAAATAAGGTATTTCAGCGTGTAAGGATAGAGGGAGAGAGTGCTACTATTAATAATTCCTTCTATATGCATAGCTCTTTCCAACCTAAAGGATCCCAAAAGTTCATTATATAGTGAAAGGCACCTCCTTCATTAAACACTGCAGTTCAGCACCTACTTTGCATGTTGATGCAACAGACATTACGTGCCAGCGGTACCTTCTCCACAGCAGATGAAGTGGAGAAGAGAGAAATTACAAGAGTGGAATTTGACCAGGACATCAGGGTTAGCATCTCTCCTCATATAAACAGTGTCATAGGATCTTTAATTCCTGCAAGTAGTCGGGGCCTTGGTATAATGTTTCCTGTCACCACAGTGAAACTTTTTTGGGGGGAATTCTAGTCCAGAGGGAATAGTGTCTCCTACTGGTTCCCCACCATCACTCACAACAGGAGCCTCGATTTCTTTTGAGGTGTCCCCATCCCAGTAGCGTTGCTTAGCCTTGCTTAGCTTCAGAGATCTGACAAGATCAGACTACAAAGTGGTAATGCTGCTGCTCTGTAATTCCCAGAGGATACATAAGACTCCCGTTGCATAGTTTCATCCATTTCAGATATTAGAAGCACTCACAGGTGCTTTTCATTTTTTGTTACTAATTTTGTTACTAATTTCCTTAACTTTGTACGGATAGAAAATAAAATGAGTTAATATTACAAATATTTCTTTTTTTGTTTTGCTTTATAAGTATAATTTCGAACAGTGTCTACAGCTCCAAGAGATTAACCTGCTCAAATAACTATACAACAGAGGTCCTGGGCTGTTGGAGGAAGTGACCGCTGTTGTGATTGGCTCTTACCCGGAAGGTGTGAGTGGTGTTGGGGCGTGAGAAGACGTCCAGCGTCTGAAGCCTCTCGCGGGGGGGCTGGGCCCCCGTCTCGTCCGGCACTGCGCTGTGTGCTCTGCTGGAGGACCCCCGCTGCCTCTGCGCACAAACACCACAAATGCACGCAAGCATCAGCGCAGAAGCCCAGCACGCGAGAGTACGTGCGCACACACGCACAGACAGTGCAACAGCAGCGCCGCTGAACGCCACATCGTCTTTTTCCACACTGGTACCCCGCGGTCGAAGCCAGCGCAGCTGTGCCGCTCTCACTGTGCCTTGGGCGAGCCGTACCTGAACCTGACGGAGGCTCTGTCCCGGGGGTGGGGGATCAGCGTCACTTGTGCCGATAGGTGGAAGTAGGTTGTTGCGGCTCAAGGGCATTGGGGGGGAGGCCAGGCGGTCGCTTGCAGTGTGCCTGGGGAGGAGCAATAAACATAATCAGCCACAACTAAGTACACAGGGATTGTGTACTTCAAAACACAAATTACAAACGAGGAAGCCATGCAGCCCATCTATTCCGTTTGGTTTCTAGTAGTAAAATGGATGTGCTTTGTGTCGCTTGTTCCATACTTTAACCCCTTCTGTAAAGAAGTGCTACAGTACCTTTTCTACGTTTTAAAAGCACATCCACAGAGCTTTAATGTGGGTCCTGATTTGTGTTTCACTGCTGATTGTGAAGAAGTCCACTGTGATAAATATATCAATGCCTTTGAGGACTTTAAACAATTGAATCAGGTCACTTCCTAATCTTCTCTGTTCAAGACTAGAACAGTTCAGTTTTTTTAGCCTGTTATCAGAGGAAATGTCTTTATACCTAGGAATGTATCTGGTTTCTCTTCTATACACTGATTTCAGAATGGTAGTATCTTTTTTTGTAACGTGGTTACTAAATTAGCCCCGCCTCTTCTATGGGCTGTATTTCTTTCAAGTGTGCAGCATAGTAAAACATTCATTCATTTGAATAATATTCCAGAAACAATAATATAACGTAAAACACATTAAACTTTATTTTCCATTCGATACACTGCCATCTTTGCGCTAAACACATGAGCACTTTAACTTACGGTGCACATTCAGTACAAAATATCTTTACATTCTTGCCTAAAGCTGAAATCATGCTTAGTAACTTAAAGTCAGTACTGTACATGCTTTCCTGAAGGCCTGAACCCTACACTGCCTGTCTTTTATCCTGTTTCACACCAGTGCGCTGTAGACTGCTTGCTACAGTTGGGGAGCTTTCCAAACACAAATTTGATGTCAGGTCAATAAAACCAAAAGATCAATTTTCAAACCTTTTCTTTCTGACACAAACTGCACTCTCTGTTTTCTGAAACAAGTGATTAAGTTGAATACCGAGAATATCTAGAATGAGATAGCATGAATATGAGAGAAAAACATTTCTAGAAAACTGGAGTATTCTTGATATTAGCAAAATGGGGACAAAGTTCACAGGGGAGTAAATGGATCTGAAAAGTGATTCTACAAGCACCCAGCTATATGGCCCTGCAGCCCTCAGAAACTCACAGGCGTGTTCCACGAATGACCTCATCCATGGACCCCAGGGTGCCGGACTGTGACAGACCAGGGGTGATGGGGTGCAGGGTTCGTGGAGGAGGGTTCCGACGCCGGGCAGACTGTGGGGGACGTGACAGTGAGGAAGAGCTCTGTTCCAGCTGCCGGCGAGGACGAGATCTGCTGGAGGGGATGGCACTCGAACCCGGACGATGAGACATCCTCTCTTCTGATTCCCTGTGAAAACATTTACACAGACAGGTGATTAATATGTTGATGTAGTAACGTCAACCTCTCTTAACACACTCGTATACTTATATCATATTAAAAAGGTATTTATAAATAAAAAGCTTTTTATTTTACTGTGTTTTATTGAATATAATACATTTTATTGTATAAAATAAAAATAACTATTATTTTATTATAAATAAAAGCTTTTTATTGTGTTTCTACCATTGAAAACTATACTTTTCATGCACAGCATTATCTCCAGCTAATTTTGCCCAAGTGCAAAATACGAATTCCTTCATTCCTTTGAATGTTCATGCATGTGATAGGTATTTCCTCTAGACTGAAAGTGTTTGGGGGAAAGAAAGCTGTGTTATGACAGGTGGCATATAACTCAAATATTTTTTCTGATACCGATTTGACCCAGGGAAAATGTTAACAGACTCATACAGATGGGTGCACAAAAAAGTGGGACTATTAGAAACACACATACGCATCAAATCTAATTCTTGTTACCTTTTTATCATTTAACTAGGTCTACATTTTTCAGGGAAATCAAAGTCTTTGTCTGAGAAATGTAATGCTACACCACACCAGCTGTAGCTCTTGCACAACGTAAATATTTCAGTGTTGTAATTGCTTTGCATTCAAACACATTTAACCAAAGATAAAAAAAAAACAGCTGCCAGTACATTTTGAATTCTGTCAAGCAAAATGCTATTTCTCTAGGTCTGACAAAAAGTGAGGTCGCCAGGAGCACTGTAGTCACGAGAAGTGCATGAGCGTGTGTCGGCGTGTACACAGTGCTTGTGCAGGGAGCCGGGGTTGGCTATTCGTACTGTGTTTTATCCAAGACTCCCAGGGTCCTCTGCTGTAGGGGGATCCCGTGGATGACGATGAGGCCATTGAGGTTGTGGTGGGCACTCCCAGGCACTCTGCTGGACTATGGAAAGAAACAAGAGTCAGCTTCAATCAAGCCAAATTTCAGAGTTGATGCTCTATAAACAGCTGCTTATGCATCTTCACATGGCTCATTTTCTTTTGTACTGATTGACTTTCTCCCTACACCCTATCATAAATTGCCACAGAATAGGCAAGGGTTACCATCAGTTACTGGGTCTTTCCTATTACTCCACTGCATGATTTTACTACATGCCTCTCTTCAAATTGTGTGATTTGGCTATTCCAAAGTCCGAAGATTTGATTCTGTGTGGTATAGGGAAGCAGTCCAACTAATTTTTATTAGTTACACAAACCTTTTCCATTTCAACTAAAAGACAGAAGAAGAATGAAAGATACATCTATTAGTTTATCTAACACGGTGTTCCTCTAAAAATTGCGAAGTGAAAAAAAGAAGCACCTGCTGTTAATAAGAGGAACCATGCATCCACTGTGTATGAAAAGTCAGGCACAAGAGAGGGAAAGACATAAACTCTCTCTGGTGGTTCTGTCAAAATTGGCAATCCCTACACTGTCCAACAGAACTAACATCACATTCACTGTCTTTCCCCATTAGAGTGTTACATACAGGAGGAGGCTTTCTCTGCCTTTTGGATTTCCGGCTGGACTTGTGCTTTGACTTTGTGCTCTTTGGAAAAGAAAGAAAGGACAAAGAGGGAAAGGAAGACATAAATAAATACATAAATAAAAAGGAGGCAGTGTGGCAGGTGTTGAGCAGAACAGGGGCAAATTAAAACAGAATAGGAAAAAAAGGAGACGTTCCTGAATTGGAAGCCTGAATAAGAAGAATGTAAAGAGTCAAAGGCTATAGAAAGCAACAAGAATGAAGACCTCTGTGCTATTGTTTAGTATCAGAGAATAGTTCATCATGGAAGTCAAACACCAAACTTCCAAACCACTCTATTTCAGGATTGTAGTATAACTTTGGTACAATTGATTATGTAACTATGGAGGCAGCTGTAACAAGTGAATGGACTAGAAAGCCTGGTATTTGACTACCTTAATAGAGATGTTAGTTAAAGCCATTTTGTATTACCAGTCATTTATTTTAGTAACAAAGTAAAGTTATGTTAACATTCACAGCCAGTTCTACACAATCATAATTCAAGTAGCGTCACTCCCCCATACTGACCCTGACTTTGGTGCAGAAATACTGTATCACTGTAGGTGTTAGCTGCATGAAGATAGACTGAATTCTCTGTCTTGGTAAATCATTCAAGCTGTACAAAATGGTTTCATAATCTTCCATTAAACTATTCTAACCTCAGTATTGCTATGGATTCTGGAAACACACAGATTTCTCCTTAAATCATAATTTTTTACATTCTATAGCACAAAATGACAGACCTGCAATAAAGCAGCACTTCTCGGTGTGCTATTGTGTATAAGCTAATGAAATGATCCTCACTAAATAATAAGGTGCTGGTTCCATTTTCAGCTGATATATGCAAAGTGAAGCCTGTGCTCCACAGCCCCCACCCCTTGATTTCACCCACCTGTGGCTGTAGGCTGGTGGAGAAAGAGGGGGCCCTGGGCTGGCTGACTCTCAGTTGCACCGCCGGCAGGAATGAACTGTCTGAATCTGGACGCACAGGGATGACTGTCACAGCATTCCTCTCGTCATCTGCACGGTGAAAAAACAGGCCTGTGGTCAGCCTTCAGACCATGTTCTTCCTATACATCAGGCAGCTCAGGTTCAACGCACGACCCTTCCTTGATTCGGCAGCAGCACATAATGTTACTGTCATTATAACATTATAGGGTAGTGAAGTACTATAGTACAGTAACACTTATCCACTGATAGCAAATGTGCTGAAGGGCATGGCAAAATAGCGTTTTGAAAGCAAGTAAATGTGAGGTAGATGAATTGGAAAAACAGGGCAAAATGAAAAATCACCATGCAAATGATAAGCTTTTGCAAGGATTGTGGAAGCATGGCTATTCCTCAAAGGCTGCCCTCTTGTTCACCCCGAGGCAAGCATCTGTTTATGGGGAGCAGGGCTCTACCAAGGTAGCTACATCTGAGTTTAAGCAACCCAATGTTTTCAATATTCATGTACAAAACCTAAAATACAGTATATATACACTGCTAATGTACACTACTGTACCGACTGCCAAAAAGAAGGCCACCAGCCTATACATTTTCAATTCTGAACAACTCTGCTACTGCTCTAATGACTTTTACTACAGTAAAGAACAATTTCCTTCTGCCAGCAAAAAAGACCATGATCAAGAAGTAGCAATCAAACCCAGCATTCTGAACCACTACATTCTGTTGTGTTAAGATACAAAACCATTTTGTATTATTATATGGAATAGCTAAGTAGCTATTTTCTCTGCAATGCAGAACATTTCATTATTTCATATCACATAGAACCAGATTTTATTTTTATTTTCTTAACTTCAACCATGGTTTTTAAAGTAGCATTTCAATTTGGCCTTTTTCCATTGTTAATTTATTCTCCTTAAGTTATTATTTTATGCATTCTGTAGCACTTTGAATTATGTAGCCATGAAGACTTCCATAGAAAATAAAGGCTGATCAATGTCGAAAGTGTGTACCAGAGCTACAGCCCTCCCAGAGCCTGCGAACCAGCTCCTCCATGCAGCCCACCAGTTCTCTCCAGACATCATCGAACAGCAGGTCCAGCACCGCCTGACGCCGACAGTGGCATGGAGACACCGGGGGAAGACCCTTCCTCCTGCGGAACCCTACCTTCCCCCTCTCCCACTCCTCCTCCCTGCAACACATGCAGACACACCTTCGGTTTCAGAGCAGCAAACACACTGGCACACATGCAGCCTCACTTCGTCCAACAGATAAACACGCTTAGCTGTACACGGACTCACATTCACTGTCGCACAAACCTTTATAGACAGCATCCACCATGGTCACCACCACATCATATACACACGGGATTACAATCATGCTGCAGGTGTGATCATGCCAGTGCTGTGATAGTGCTAGATACAGATCCAGTTCATAAGGTAAGGTGCAAGGGGTCAGAGGTCAGGGTTCGGCGTGGGGAGTTACTCACAGGTCCCTGCAGTCAAAGGCAAGGTACTCCTCTACCAGCCCCTCTGCTGCAATCACCCGTGGCTCATCCACACTCTTCAGCCAAGGGGGTGCTCCAGGGGGCGTGTCAGCATCTGCACAGGGCTTGGACAACACGGCCTTCCGTCCTTGCACACTCAGCCTGGACAGAGAGACGCCATTATAAATGACACACGCAGAAC